TTTGTGCATCCAATGGGAGCTTAAGGCGTGTGCCTGTCATGGTAGTCTCGTATTTGGGGTTGTCAATGGCAAAAAATATAAATTTGATGAATTTAAAATGATATTTTTTTCTTGGTTTTAAATAAGGATATCTTGGGGTTTTTAGTTTGGGTCTATTAGGCTCCATTTCATTGGTCCAACTGTTATAATGGGTCAAGTATGGTTCTAATGTGTCTAAATGGTATATTTCTAATTTAACAGTCAAACGGATGAATCTGGTCATGAAATTAGATGTATTGGGTTTTTTTGGGTCTTTGAACATAGTAGTGACGTCTGATTGGATAAATAAGATCAGAATGATGGAGATCTATGGCTGAGAAGTTCGGATCAACAAGATTTATTGAAATAGAATCTTTGTTTGATGAAGGGACAAACGAGTGAATTTTAGAATGAAATTTGGTGGCTTGACACTTTTGAACGTCCTGAATCTAATGGAAGTTACGGATCTTTGACCAGAGGAGTGGATTGACTGATTTAGTTCAGATCATGGTCTTAGCTTATGGTTTTCCAATCAACAAGAGGGCCCAAAATGGAATCTTGCTTTTTTTAACGGTCAGGTGGAGGTGATTGGTCATGAAATTCGATGTGCTAAGGTTTTTTAGGTCTCCAAACACAGTGGTAAGGTTTGTTGGTCATATAAAGTTGAGATGATGGATGATAAGCTCTAGTTAATGAGATTTGCTGAAACAGGATCTAGGCTTGATGGGGGTCAAATAGGGGAATTTTTAGTTACAATTTGGTATGTAGGCATGGATTAGGGGGAATCCCTCCCCATTTTTTCCTCAAAGCCCTAACATAGAAAGCAATCCACCGGCGATTTCACTACACAACTGACATCCGTGAAGGGGGAATCCATCGACGTCAAGAAATCAATTGACAATAAGCATGTTTGTCTTCGTTTTATTCTTTTCTTCTTGTTCTTGTTCTTGGAATACTTTTTCTTCTCCTCCTCCTTCCCTGCAAACGTTTTTCTTTTTTTTTTTTTTTTTGCTTTTTAATGTGCTTCTAAAGTTGGCCTTACCCCTGAACTCCTTCCTCTCTGAAATGAACATCCGCATCCCCAAGTCGGTGGTACCCTTATCGAAGGCAACCTATCAAAACCCCAAAAGCAGAACTGGGTTCAGTTAGTTCTCTGTTGCTCCAGTGCCCTTTGTCTAATGCAGAAGAACTGAATTCCTTATCCGTTTAATGCAGTTCTATGAGACTTATTGCATTGTTTTGAGAGTAGGAAACCTGGAATTTGGACTACAAAAATGAAATCTCTAAAAGCAATTCCCTTATTAGAATTTCAAGATTGAATGCTATTCGAATTCACCTGACTGTAAAAATTCCAAAATGATTTTTATGTTCTTAATGCATGGTTGTTCACTGTACATGTGTTATGCCTGTATAGTTTTTTTTTATGAACTCATGCAACCTTTTACCTTAACATGTCGATCTGCTAACCCTGAGGAGTTCAAGGAAGAACTTCAACACCACCTGAAACCAAGCTTTATTACTTTGTGATACAAATTTGTTGCAAGTAAAAAATAAAACTTTGATATTTTTACTCTTAAATTTATAGCTATTTATAAAGTCTTGAACTTGCAGAAAAATTCCTAAATTGATTTGGTGAAACAAACCAGGTGTAGAGAATTAACTATTCTCTTTTTGGAACTTCGATAGATTGCCTTCTATCAATGTATCAACGATTAGGGGACGTCGATGTTTGTTTCAGAGAAAAAGGGGTTTGGGTATCGTTGATAGACACATGGTCCATGCAGGTGTGTAACGTGGCGTAGGGAGAAGAGCAGCAAATTTCCTCCCTTTTCTCTTTATTTTCTTGTTAGTTTATTTCTGTTCTATTTCCTTGTAACTTGTACGTAGGAATAGGTCAATTTGGTTAAGTAGTTATTACTTAAGAATAGGTCAAGTTGTTAGTGGTTAAGTAGTTATGTTCCTATGTCTTAGGAATAGGCTAACTACTAGAGAAGCTAATCCCTTAATCAGTGGCTATGTTAGTGGAAGGAAGTTGAGAATTTTCTTGTATTTAAACACCACCCATCCAACATGGGAGGGCAATTGGAAGTTAATAAAATCTTGTGGTCTTATTTTCACCCTAAGCAGAATACTCTATCACTCTAGCTTTGTCTGGGACCTATCAATTAGTATTAGAGCTAGAAACCATGGCTACTAACAATGAGAGAATTGAGAGCTTAGAGGCTGGACTTAGAGGACTCCAAGATAGCTTTAGTCGTATGGAGGCGGGAGTAGCTGATAAGTTCCATCAGTTAGAAGATGCCATCAACACATTATCGGAAGCTCTACTCTCCAACCGTGCTGCATCGACTGCCAACAACCTCGAATTTAAGGCAAACTCTCCTACCAGGTATTCTTGCAACATGAGAGAAGAATCTCGAGACAACTCCAAAGTGGGACGACAACTGTTCTCTTCCAAACTAGCCAAATTGGAGTTTCCTTGATTTACGGGAGATGACCCCATCGAATGGTTCACAAGAGTAGATCAATTTTTTGAATACCAAGGCACTCTTGAATCTCATAAGGTGTCATTGGCTTCTTTCCATTTGAAAGGCGAGGCTAACCAATGGTGGCAATGGTTGAGAAGATCCTATAAGGAAGAAGACAAAGAGGTGACATGGGAAATTTTTCAAGAAGAACTTTGGGTAAGATTTGGTCCTACTGAATGTGAAGACTTTGACGAAGCATTGCCAAAGATTACACAGGTGGGCTCCTTACGTGATTATCAAAAAGAGTTCGAACGGTTGGGAAATCGGGTATAAGGGTGGAATCAAAAGGCATTGGTAAACACCTTTATGGGAGGTCTTAAAATTGAAATAGCAGATGGGATTCGGATGTTTAAGCCAAAATCCTTGAAGGAAGCCATCGGTTTAGCTTGGATGCGAGATGAGTAGCTAAACCGTCAAGAGAAGGCTACATGTCCATTCAATAGGACCACTATCGACTCTTCTCCAATGAAACTGAAGTCTGCTTCACCAATGAAACGACTCACTTAGACGGAGATGCAAAGGAGGCGTGCTCAAGGCCTTTGTTTTAATTGCGATGAGAAATTTGTACCGAGGCACAAATGCAAAGGGCCGCAGTTGTTGTTGCTTGAAGGAAATTATGACAAAAGTGAGACAGATGATGAAGATGGAGCTCACACCAACCTTCAACAAGCTATGGAACAGATACATCAAATTGGACCTTGAGAACAAGGTCCCTCTGAAAGATAGGGGCAATGATAGACGCATGGCTCATGCAGGTGTGTGAGGTGGCGTAGGGAGAAGAGCAACAGATTTCCTCCCTTGTCTCTTCATTTTCTTGTTAGTTTATTTCTGTTCTATTTCCTTGTAACCTGTACGTAGGAATTAGTCAATAAAGCCAAGGTGTTGGCCCTAGGAAGTAATCAATTTGGTTAAGTAGTTATGTTCCTATGGCTTAGGGATAGGCTAACTACTAGAGAAGCTAATCCCTTAATCAGTGGCTATGTTAGTAGAAGGAAGTTGAGAATTTTCTTGTATTTAAACACCACCCATCCAACATGGGAGGGTGGTTGGAAGTTAATAAAATCTTGTGGTCTTATTCTCACCCTAAGCAGAATACTCTATCACTCTAGCTTTGACTGGGACCTATCAATCGTCAGCTTCAAAAGCATTCACAAACAACAAAAAAATAATAGTATAAAGAGCGTTGAATCTGTCGTTGTACAGTGTCGGATACCGATGTTCTGGCGAGAGACGACAGTTGACGGAGATGACAACGACAAAGATAGTACGCGCTATCCAGTGACAAACAAAATTGTAGCCCTTGATATTATCCGCTGGTGGCTTTCACGTTCATGGATGCTTCTGGGTTAGGGGAGAGTCAAAAATGGGAGGAAGACCTAAAAATCCTATATAATTAAAATGGGTCCGAATGTAGTAGGCACGTTAGGTAAGCACAACGAGTGAGCACATAATAGCTATGTGACACATGTCCCAGTTAATATGTCTTTCATCCAAACGTTTTTGTTTCGTTAGACAGAAATTATCCATTATTTTATTATCTTTGTCAAAATAATTAAAAATAAAAAACAATGAAAAAGTAAAACCTAAATATATTGGGAGTTGGGACTCATTTATGTTTTCTTTTTTTATTATCTTTTATTTTTAATTATTTTGACAAAGATAATAAAATAATGGATAATTTCTATCTAAGAGAGTAAAAATGTTTGGATGAAAGACACATTAACTGGAACATGTGTTACACAGCTATTACGTGCTCACTAATTATGCTTAATTAAGGTGTCTACTACATCCGGACCCAATTAAAATGTTTATAACTATTAAGTAATTTTTATACTGATTCGACCAGATTTTTAAGATTAACATTTAAAGGTCCATTAATATTAATAACTTTTAAATATGTTGACGTGGTCGTCTCTCATTGGTGGGTTCACGCGTTTCGTGGTTCACAGAACGCGGTTTGATGGCCAAACCGATGTCCCCACTGGTGGGGGTTGGTAAGTGAGCGCGGATCTCATCAGTCTCAACTCTCGACTCGACTGCATTTCTTGTATCCTGCAGTGCAGTGCAGTCTGTGGCCCCAGCGCTAGAACAGTCCGTCACTGGTAGAGCGTAGCAGCCCAGATCAAAACCATGGGTTCTGTTGTTTTTGAAGGGAAAGGCGCGTTAAATCTTGAATGGCCCCTATAGTCCCACTTCTCATTTCTCACAACTTTCTCAGCCCTCTGCCCTTATAACTTATCGACCATTTGACCTTACTTTATATATGAGCATATGCGAATACGATATCTCGATTCTACGCAAAGCATCACAGTTCACAATACCACGCACCAAGCCCACTGCCTATCATATCATCGCCGTTTGATTTCAGGCAGTACTCTCGTCTTGGATGGGGCCCAAAGAATTGAGAGGATTCAAAAGTCCCACCGTGCTACTCTAGTCAGTCGTCTCTAGACTCCATCCCATAATCTATAAATAAACACATGGCCGGCTCCCCTCCTACTCAAAGTCTCAAATCCCAGAGTCATCTTCTGCTCTTCAACTCTCATAATCTTCTTCTTTTAGCTCATTCAAGCTATCATAGTTCAGATTTCTAACAGTACTTGGTAGAGAAATTAAGATGAGTGTGGAAGTATTGGACGGTGCCACCATCTTCAACTTCGTGGAGGACAAAGAAGCCTTCGAAGGCTCGGTTCATGACCGCTTTGCTCGTCTCGACACGGATCATGACGGTGTATTATCATATGCCGAGATGGTGAGGGAGCTCCAGAGTCTGAGGATCTTCGAGACCCACTTCGGCGTTGACGTCAAGACAGAACCCCATGAGATAGCCATTGTCTACCGTGCCCTGTTCGGCCGATTTGACCGTGATTCCAATGGGGCGGTGGACTTGGAGGAATTCAAGGCGGAGACCAAGCAGATGATGCTGGCCATGGCGAATGGGTTGGGATTCTTGCCCATTCAAATGGTACTTGAGGAGGACAGTCTCCTAAAGAAAGCTGTGGAATTGGAATCCGCCAAAGTTGCAGGTGCAGCTGCTTAAAAGTATTCTATTTCTTCCTTTGTAGTCTTGCAAGCATTTTACCTTTTTTAAATTTTCATTGTTGTATAAGTATTCTTTTTGGGCATTAAATCAAACAGTTAATATTCCTTTTGGCTGAGGATGCCAGTAGTTTAACAATCCAGATTGGTGCTCATCTCCGGTTCTGATTCAATATATCCCCTTGTTCATTCAATTTGTGTATTAATGCAATCAACATAGGAAAGTATTTGTCAATCTGTCAAGCAGCATCCATGGTAGCTTTTGAAGGATTTCATGAAGGTGTCATTGATGTAAGCAGTCGAAAAATCGTTCTCTGTTAATATTGTTTTGGTTTTGTTGTGGGAGATGTTAATCCTAACTCCTAACTTGTTAGAATCCTCGGTCATACCCCATTGCATGGGAGCAGCCATGTCTAGTCAATGGACTATGGGAAATTGGGAAATTGTCTTTCAATGTTAGTTGACTCAGGACCCCCGAGTTGACTCCGCTCTCAAGCATAGGAAGCCGAGTTATGGTGGTAATTTGTTTTCTATTCAGCAACCAGAAAATAAAAAGGGATAATAGCATATAAGGGCAACTTTTGAGGTTTAATATCTGTATGACAACGACTCCTCTATTTCTCGGCCGAGTCAGTTGATTCAATGGCTCCTAGCGTGAGTGCCCCTACGACCCTACCTGACGTGACAATATTGTCACAAGTGACTCCTTTACCGCACCATCAACACCTTCAGCCATGCCAATAGAGTGCCTATCGTGTGCCTTCATGGTGTCATCATGTGTGTCATGGGTGGGCTATGTATGTATCTTGGAAGGGGGGACTGTCAGTGGCATTATTGTAATTACTTAGTATGAATTTCCACTCTTTTGATGTTTCCTTTTCACTCCCCCAAAAGCTTAACGTACTCTTTGAGGGGAGGTAGGTAGTCGAGTGAGTCATAAGCGTGTAAAGGTTAAGCACGAGATCCCCTTGACACTGAACTGTGTGCTTGTTCTTACCACTGATTAATGCAATACAAGTTGCCTTTTGTCTAATTTGTGTGCCTTCTTGTTGCCTTTTGTGTGTTATTGCTTGCATTTGTAGGCTTTCTCGACCCCATCAAGTGCCGCACGGGGCCTTATCGATTAGCCCCGTGACAGTTGGTATTAGAGCGGGTTGCTGCTCAACGCACGTGACCCTTGCATAGCAACACTAGTGGTGGTGCAATGAAGCACAACAAGGAACTCACCAACGAAATTCAGCATGGCCTTGCCCATGCTAGAGAGACCGATGAGGCTCTAGGCGATGAAGCCGTTACAGAGAAGGCTCCGAAGGGTCGCACATCCGAAGCAAGCAAGCGCAACAAGTTAGTTGACAAGCTTGCTACCTTCGACACGCGCATCCTTCGTTGCGAAGTGACCGTTGGGGAGATGTGTGACCGAGTAGAAGAAATCCACCTGAACGTGGAAACAATTGAGAGCTCCATGGTGGAGCTAAAAGCTCGTTTAAATGGCATTATGAACGAGGTCCAAGACGTACTGAATGACACCCTCAAGGAAGTCCTTGGCACAACATCCCGACAAGAAGGGAGCTCATCTCGATCCAACATCCAAGACCAGGTTGATGAGATAAGAGCTGAATGGATGGCCATGAAAGTAGCCATGGCTGCTCCTACTGACCTCCAGACACAATTAGATGAACTAAGAGGAGACATGATGCTCCTCAAGAGATTAGTGGCCAACACTCCAAGCCCCTCCACAACATTGGCCCCTACTCGTGTGAAGATTCGGGAACCCACACCTTATGCCGGCTCCCGAGATGCTAGAGAACTTGACAACTTCTTGTGGCAAATGGAACAATATTTCCTTGCCGCTGGCATTGATGATGACCTAACTCAGATTCGTACAGTGATCATGTATTTGACTGACATTGCTATGCTATGGTGGTGGAGGCGATGCCAAGACATTGAACGGGGTACGTGCACCATTAAGACATGGGCTGATTTCAAGCGAGAACTAAAGCGGCAATTCTACCCAGAGAACGTGGAGTACTTGGCGTGGAAGAAGTTGAAAGCACTCAAGCATGGGGACTCACTCCACAGCTATGTCAAAGAGTTTTCAGCCCTTACCTTGGAGATCACGGACATGTCCGACAAGGATCTACTGTTCAACTTCATGGACGGACTGAAGCCATGGGCCGAACTAGAGCTCCAATGCCACAACATACAGGACCTCGCCACGGCAATGGCAGTGGTGGAGCAACTCAATGAGACGAACTTGTCAGATGAAGAAGCCCCTAAGCCAGAAAGCCCACGTGCCCCAAATTTGAGTGGGGGAGCAAGTCATCCACGCCCTCCGTACGACAACTCCAGCATCAACAAGCCAGCAAGACAAGACTACAGGAAGCCCCAAGGAGAGCAAGGCCGACCCTCAACACCAGTACAAGCCCAGAACCGCGGGGCCCCCACGTTCCTGCTCCCTTTGTGGGGAGAATCACCTAGTTCGTAACTGCCCAACCAAGAAGAAGATCATTTCCCTTGTCGCCAAGCTCAGTGATGACGAGCRAAGTGATGAGGAAWARKT